TTATTTGCCGGATCTAATATTAATTTAATGTTTTTGGCAGAATGCTTATAACTTCGGGAAACTGAAAAAATTCTTAGACAATACAATAATGGGAAGACATTGGAAATGGCTATTTAGTGTAAGAAGATAGAATTCACTGTCATCAAATGAAGCTACATCCGTGATATGTCTCGGAAAGGGAGATATTTCTTCGAAGTAGCAAAGTGGTTGTTGACTACTGTAACCGAGTAGGACAATCTAGCAGGTAACCATAATGGACTGGTCCTCATCGTAGTGGTAGGCAATAGGCGTAAGCAATAGGCGTCCACATCATTCTGTATTTATGGCTGACACCAGCCAATCATATTATTGTGAGGGGGAACCCAGGTGTATGCATATTCATTACATCAATCCGATAAAGATTGACCCCACCTTAAGTGTCCTGTGTATTTGAGACTCCCGTGGATTGGTCCCGAGAGTCAAACATATGCAGGCAGAATTAATAATTCAATTAAACAGTGTTTTAATGCTGTTACTGTTCGAAATATTTTCAGTACAAAAAAAAGCTTTCTCTCCCACTCACCGTAAGGATGTCTTGCCTACCATTCAACAAAGTTTAATTATATATCAATTCAAATGTCAGTGTCAGATCGACTATGTGGTCAAGACCATCCAACGGTTAGAGGGGAGGATCACCCAACATGTTCCGGGTAAAGGGCGCAGGCATGAACCAATTACATCCCGGTGTTCACAAATTCATGAGTCAGCGATTGGTGAACACCTTTTAAATTCTGTCGATTGCAGGACGAATTATTCTTCTGATTCCTTTTCTGTCATGCACAGGGCTAAGACGACGCTCTATTTAGGCATCTTGGAGTCTATTATTATTAATATGCGACGTCCTCTCCTATATAGACAGAGGGAGATGAAATTCAGGTTGGTCCTATTCAGGGGAGATTACTGCTTAACCTAGAAAATATTTAGGACACGTAAGGTCTTTTTTTCCTCTTCCTTTAATTTCCACCCCCTCTTATTACATGTCGGTAATCTATTGTTTTTAACATTAGTCGTTGATAATAATTTTTCTTATCAACTTCTTTTTTTTTTCTACTGCCGACGATTATTTTTCTGAAGCAATTCCCCCTTTTTTTCTTAAACGAGATACTTTTGTATCTATTTTAACAATAAAAAGGGAAATATGATCTTTATATTTAACTCAATTTTGACTTGGTGTGGCAGTAAAAAGAACTGGGCCATATCTTGGGGACGTGAAAATCAACTAGCTACAAGCATTTAACGATTTCATTAGTGTTATGGGATCTTACCCATAATAATAATAATGGACTATTCCATACTTAATAAATACTGCGCCTCAGGAGTAGGCAAGTCGAGTCTGTCATTCACTTCTGAACCGACAGTTCGGTTGAACTCCCTTCGGGCGGAACCCGAATGAGGCTACGCCGAGGGGCGGAGTCTCGTTCGGGGAGATAAACCGGCCCTGAGCCCATTTATACGGGTTCAATGGGCATATTTTTGGTCCGAGCCCACGGGCTCGGAGAACCCACAATAAATAACCGACTTTGGGTCACATGATGCCTCAGTGAGCGGTGTGGGGGGGTGACTGAATATCGTCAGTAGTTCAAGTCGAGTCAAGAGTCGAGTCAGAGGCAGTTGGAAACAGAGTCGCGTTCAAACAATTACTGCAAGACATTGGAATAATGATACTGGTCGAGACTACATTGTTCTCCCTACTAAACCTGATTGTTCATACTAACACTTCTGCTTCTCTGTATCTATTCCTGTTTGTAATATATCTGTGTTATTCCATACCTGTGTTCGAGTTCATCTTTATTGGTTCTGCCTTGGACTATCACAGTGGTACAAGGAATCGGACCATAACAAGTATTATTATGGGTACGATACCATAACAATTAGGGGCAATAAAAGAGGAAGAAAATGATAGAAATCTGAAAGCACATAGGAAGAGTAAATCATAGCTTCTAGAAATCTAGAGATAGAAAAATATCAATATTAACAAAGGCAACATTTCTCAACTGGTATGTAATATTTATTCTCTGTGACAATAACCTCACAAATGAAGAATAGATTTGAATTGACAATATGTTTCTACTGACGAATGCAAACAATGTCATAGACAGAATATGTGAGCAAAGAGAAAGAAAAATCGGAGCATCAAGGAAACTTTTACAATCAGAAATAGAGATTTGGTATTTTTGGGACACATTGAGGAAAGAGTGCTTAGAGTATTTAACACTCACAAGGCTTATTGTTGAAGCAGAAGGAAATATCGAGCCAACGATTTATGGTGTTTGTGAATGTATGGGCAGACAGACCAAGGACAAACGGAGATGGAAAGTTTGAATCGATAGAGCAACAGATGTTAGAAGTTGTGGAGAGTCATGATTGCGTTCTGAAGCAACATGGCGCATAAAAGTAGCTATTCTTCATAAACGAAACAATAATTACATTTTAATGAATTGTTATTCTTAATAAAAGTTCAATAATTAACCAACTTTTCACCCAAATCAATTTACTACTCTGGCGATTTCAGTCCTTAATGGGTTCTCCACTTATACCTGTCTATGCCCAGCTAGCTATATAATAAAGCATTTGCCTTTCTAGATTTGAATTTGTTTTTAATAAACATTTTGAGATGTACGTTATTTATAACGAGTTCGATCCCAACTCTGGCCTCCTAACATTCTGTTAGAAAATATCACATTGGAAAAGACGTTTGTATAACTTTTTTTAATTCATTTCAAACCAAAAGCAAAGCAATGATGCCACTAAACGCAAGCGGTTACTGAGTGTTAGAGAATACGAGAAAATATATTATTTACAAGAGAATACAATAAGACAACAAAACAGAAGACAGAAAATAACGATTCATATTGCGTTTACATTTTTGAACATCAAAGTTAACAGGGAATCAAGAAGCTGAAAGAGAGATCCATAAGCGGGAAACGCAATAGAAGAAACTGTTAACATAGAACTTACGGTTCTAGCCATTTCAATTATAAAATTATGAGATCATGCGGCCAATCTAGTACTGCGCTTAAGTTCATGAAAGTCTTGGTACCAGAGGGGAAAGTTCGTCCGAACAATTACCATGAAAGGTGCAAGGAAATTACATGAGAGCGTTGGGAAAGTGACTGAAACCGAAATACCAGGTCAGGACCAATAATATTGCAGGTTTATCTTTAGATTTTTATCAAGAATCTCTAAATATATAACAGAAGCAACAGAACAGATATGACAACAATATTCAAATTAAGGACGAATGGTATTCCTTTAAATATGTAAGATAGATTCTGGTGATAAAATTGTCTAGTTCGACACAGTGAAGCAGCTTTCATAACTGCAGACATAACAATGAATTTAATATACTCTTTGCACTTAATATTAGCAGAAAACTTGCAAAGATTCACTCTCCTCTAGGTCAGTATCAACGATGCTGATGGAATATAAAAATGTAATATAAAATGTGACTTCTGCATTAATGTAAAAAGATCTAGAAGAGTGGGCATTATAGACAACATTCATTTCACGATTTGATAATAAAAAGAATCAATCAGTTCAAACATTCATCCAGAAATACCGTAACCTTTCAACTTGTGAAGACCAGTATGACAAACTGTGCCTTTGAGATATTCAACATAACAGCCAGAGCTTCAACATTCTTATCTAAATCTTGATAGACGCTTTCATACATAATCGTGAATACATCAACAGTTGATCTAGACAAGCGAATGCTAGCTTGCTTATCTAAAAGACGATCTTGCCAATTTAGAATTAATTAGAGCCTCTGGTACATTGCCAATGTGAGGCAGAAGTCTAATAGACCGATAGTTAAAATGATTAGACGGTTCACCTAAGTTCTTAAAGTTAAGAACTACAGATAAGGATTTCCAAGAGGCAGGAAAACAAGAAGCAGTAAGGCATTTATTATAGAGTTTAAAAAGAACAGGAGAACATTTGTTAAGGACAATTGCAGGGATACCATCAAGTCTACATGCTTTGTGAGGATCCAGTCTAGAAATTATGGCGGAGTTATATTCATATCTCTCAATAGAGTCTCCGTTCTAAGTGGAAAATCAATCAATCACATTACGCATGAGTCAAGAGTCAAATGTCAGATGAGTCAAATCGCAGCCACAAAGATTAAATGATTCTACAAAAGAAAAAAAAGATTTTAGAGAGTTATTGAAAAACAACGGTTTGTATGCAAAAGGAGAGATATCATTAAATTCAGCGTCTTTAATGGCCAGTGATGAGGTTTACTAAATAACTAAACAAGGACTAATCAAAATATACCAACGTCGACGTTTATAAGCTTTTTAACTGTCAGCAATTTTGTCTGTAAAGTTTTATTTATAAGTTTATTATAACAGGCTAATAATGGAAGTCGAATGGATATTTTTTTCGCCTGGCTGCTTCAACATCTGCTATTCATCCATAAACATCTTCTGCTGTCAGTTTGACTGGAATTCTTACGAAAGAAAGGATTATCAAAATAAATTATTTAAGAATAAAAACTTCACAAAATTCACGCAGCCATTAGACCAAAAACGACGAAATATGAATTTTGAGTGGTGTTGGTTTTCTACGTGGGGGAGGGCCTAACTGCATAGAAAATCAACATTCAAAATTCATTCTGAACAAGAACATCGATCACTGGCAACATTCTGAAATACGTGATTATCACGACCAACTGTCTGACGACAAAAATCTTACAAAATAAAAAGAATTAAATTTGGATGAAGTCGACAAATAACATTTTCAACTTCACTATGAGCTTGATTAATATCTCAAATCACAATTTTCAATTACATTTAAAGAGTGGGGCCATTTACAGTTATAGCTGCGAAACTAGAGGTATTTTCATTTACTTTAAGAAAAAAAACTATAAGAACGTGGAATGATTCTCAATTAATTCAAAAGTGAAGACGCATTAAATTATTTCTGTATATATCCGATTATTTATGGATAACAGGTTTTTATTAAGATAGATTGGTACCGAATAGACCATGTACATCTCTGGTCTGATTCTTCATGAAGATTAATGTATTATAGATAGATAGATAGATAGATAGATAGATAGATAGATAGATAGATAGATAATGAACAGAATGACATAGATAGATAGATAGATAGATAGATAGATAGATAGATAGATAGATAGATAGATAGATAGATAGATCGACTGACATAGATAGCTACATACATATACCTATATATAGATAGATATAAATATAAATAGAGAATATATTAGATTAAACGAATCTTTTTTGTCCATGTTACAATTTGTATATTCGTTAGATCAATTTAAACCCTTAAACTAGATCCCCATTATTTATTGTTATAACCTTTTAATATTCATGATCAAGTGTGCTTAATACATTCAATCGCCAGCTGGTGAGTCATTAATCAGAAAAAAAAAAATTTAAAATTTAAGTCAGACAACTTGTGTATATGGAATGTTGTGTGTTCAAAACATATTGTATATTTTCTTGTATGTCAAATACAAACATATTTTTACAAAATAGATACTGTAAATTATAACTGAATTTCGTAAACGAAGATTGTGTTGAGGCATCTTCCATGTTTTCATTGTTCTTCAAACGTGTACAGAAGGGTATGTTTTTCTTCATTGACCTTGAAGAACTGTCTCTCACCCTTGTTTTTCTTTGTAAACCTCTTGTGTAATAATAAAAGTCTCCAAACGTTATTTTCATTTCACATAAGAGATTTGCATGGGTATCTTCACGTAAGATGTTGTTAATCTTGAGGATTATAACATTTTTATGCCTTATTTTAAAAATACGTTATTGCCTGAATCGCATCTTGCAGAACTGGTCATTTTGCTACACTACTTCTACTAATGCTACTTCATTGTCGAAGTAGAGTTTTAAAAACAAGTAAATTGACGTTCTGGTTACATACATACACACATATACCTCTAGATAGAATAAATATAGATATATTACCACGAATCTTTTTTTGTCCATGTTGAGATAGATAGATACATACATACATATATTTGCCAACTCGTTGGCATTTTACTTACCATACATTCAAAAGTCATTGTCTTTATTTAAGTCAGACAACGATTTTGTTTTCTTCTTCTCAATTTGCGAATAATAAAATTATTTTCTTTCTTTGCTGACTCAGAGATGTTATCAATTTTGAATTTCCGCATTCTTCGTACGTTCTGGTTGGAACCAAAGTCCATAACCAATCATCATTGTTTATTTGAGTTGCGTCATTGCTCAACGAATCGCCACTGGCAAAATTGACTCATTTCAATGAATCTTAACAACTTTCCCGCTAGCGATGAAGAATTAGTATCTACCTTACACCTCAGAATGCAACTAAAACGTTAGAAAAAAAAGACTAAATGAAATGGTTAACAAGCACATCTAATTAAGTATTTCGAAGAATATGAGTTCTGTTGCAAACTTGTACCAGATTAGGTTAAGAAATAGATATATAATTCTCATTATCTGCAACAGGTGGAAAAAACCTGAGCCAATATTTTGACTCATCTCAAAAATGACCTACAGTCTGTTGTTAACTGGTGCAAAGAACAGTCAGTTAACTTTAACTTTTTTTTAACGATTTCCAAAACGAAAATGATCTTTATTAATCATTAGAGAGACCATTTTCTGCTTTCCATCCGGATGGCTGAAGCTAACCTCCAGGATGGAGAATCGTTACGCCTTCGCAGGCTAATATTCTCGGCTGTCATGGAAGTGAAAAGATTATATTGAATCTATTGCTAGGTCTGCTGCTAAAAAAAATTGGTGCCCTGTGATGTACAAGGCAATTTTTCTCGCCAGTATCCATCTTGCACATTTATAAATCTACAATTCTTCCGTGTATCGAATATTTCTTTTCCTCAAGTACACATGGCCGAGTGGATAAACACGTTGGTTAGATCCAGTAACTAGACACAAAGAGTTGTGAGTTCAATACCAGGCCACAGCAGTGATGAACCAAAACTTAGAGAGTTAAGTTAAAAGGAAATAAATGAGACACCCGGAAGAGGCATGGCACGTAAAGCTAGAACAATCTATCACCGGTGGAGAAATAAAGGGTTCGTACAAAATTCTAATAACCCGAAGAAGACTGAAGCTTACAATGGCCGAAACGTTGTGAATATAGCAATAAAGATGAGGATAACAGACCGAATATCGTAAATAATGTCTTTTTTTCATCTTTCAAGTGACTTTAATCCTGCAACGGGAATCGATGATATCAAAAGTAGTGCAGTCGGTTTTCCTCCTTGTAAATCACTAAAATCGTACACATAGCCCAGTGGATAAAGACGTTGGTTAGATCCAGTGATTAGACACAAAGAGTCTTGAGTTCAATACCAGGCCAGCGCAGTGACGAACCAAAAACTTAGAGAGTTGAGTTAAAGGGAATTAACTGGAGCATCCAAAGAGACATGGCATGTGGAACTAGAACAATTTAACCTGGTAGACGAAATAAAGGATTCGGTTTGAAATTCCCATCATCTGAAGAAGGCCGGAGCGTACAACGACGAAACGTTGTGGGTATGGCAATAAAGATGTGGATAACAGTCCGAATAATGTAATTTTTTTTTCATCTTTCAAATGACTTTAACTTTGATCGAATTCCCAGTGTTCCGATCTTGAAATCCTGTGTCGCTAATCGATTTACTGCAGTCAATTTAAAAAAAAAATGTATGCCTTGAATGGAGTCTTATTGTATCTTGGGAAATAAAATCGAAAATTTAAGAATGGTTTGGGAAATTTACATGGACTAAAAGGAAGAGAAAAGAAGATGAAACAGAGTTTTCATTAGGAAGAATAAACCCAGCTATAACGGTCTGGCGTTTTTCACAGCCATGAAATGGAAAGATTATATTGAATCCATTGCTGGGTCTGCTGCTAAAGAATTTGGTTCAAAGTGACTTGCAAGACAATTTTTCTCGCCAGCATCTATCTTGCATATTTATAAATCTACCATTCTTCTGTGCATCGAATATTGCTTCCAGATCTGTATATCTAGATTCTTGACAAAATCCAAAGAGGAATCTACAACGTTGACGGTACTAACCAAGCGGTTTCAATCACTTTACTACCGCCAAAATTAGCTTTTTCTTTCCCTTTTCTGTAAATATGAGCTTCCCCTGCTGGTACCTTGACATAACAAATTTAAGTGCAGTACTAGATTGGCAGTTAGGTCTCATAATTTCAATGGTGAAATTACTAGATATAACCGTAAGTTCTATTCTAATAATTTCTTCTCTTGCACTTCTCCCCTGTGAAGCTCTCTTCCGGCTTCTTGTTTTCCTCTCGAATACGATTTTAAAAATATAATGAAATGTCCATCGTCATCTTCTCATCGAAACCTCTTATTTATTGTCCTAAAAAAAGCCATAACAGTCTGACGTTTTTCACAGCCATGAAATGGGAAGATTATATTTAATCCATTGCTGGGTCTGCTGCTAAGGAATTTGGTTCAATGTGACAAGTTTTCTATCTAGAATCTATTTTACATGTCTATAAGTTTACCATTTGTCCCTGCCGGAAATATTACTGCCATATATGATCTAGTGCACCTGCTATATATTTTAAGGTTCTCGATAAAATCCAAAAAAGAATCAGCAATCTTATTGGTCCTGACCTGGCATCTCGACTTAAGTTACATCCCCACCGCTGTAAAGTAGCTTCTTTCCATAAATTCGTTCATGGTAATCGTTCGGATGAGCTCTTCGCTATGTTACCTAGATTTTATGAATTTAAGCGTAGTACTAGACTGGCAATTAGGTCTCATCAATTTAAAATTGGCTAGATTTAACCGTAAGTTTTATGCTAACAGCGTCTTTTCTCACACTTCTCAATTTTGGAACTCTCTTCTGCCTCTATGCTTTCTAGTCAACTTTAATCTTCAAAAATTTAAATACAATGTCAATCGTTATCTACTGTCCACCTGAATACTCTTGTATAGTCCTCGAACTTAATAATGTTTCTGTTTTCTAATTCTTTAAACCCATGTAACCACTTGTGATTTAGTCGTTTTACAGCTTTTCATGGGATGATTTCGATTAATAAAAATTTAGATTTCTAACTTTTTCAGACTGAGTAAAAATATGAATACAATTCCAATAAGACAAGCTAATCTGTCTTTCATTAAGAAAATCATTTCTTCCATGTCTCAAGATAGTCTTCAGTCTCTCCGGCATGAACGTTGGTAGAAATTGACCAGCACCAGTGTACTAAAGGTATTTCTATTATAGTAGAATTAATAGAATAAGATGAAACTAGAAGTTGTGGCTGTAATAACCTTAATTCGAAAAATAAATGAAGCTTTTAACGGAATTCGAATTCGCAACTCAGACCTCATAGGTTATTTCGATCATAGACGATACCCGTAATTATATAGGGCACAAAAGTTGTTTCTTGGTACAGTATCGTTACTCAAAGGTTATTTCGATCAAAGACGGTACCCGCAATCAAATAGGGCATAAAGGTTGTTTCTTGGTACTGTTTCGTATCTCAAATGTTATTTCGTTCATAGACGGTACACGTAATCAAATAGGGCACAAAAGTTGCTTCTTGCTCCTGTTTGGGATCTCAAAGGTTATTTCGATCATAGACGGTACCCGTTTTCAAATAGGCTATAAAAGTTGTTTATTGGTACTGTTTATAACTATGTAATGACAAAAGTATGCAGGTGTGGGCTTTAAGAAAGCTTTACACAACTGAGAATACAAGGTTCGCGTATAGTGTCCTTTTATAGTCCCAGTAAACCGAAATAGCTCTCTCGAGGAGGAGAGTACCATTATTCATAAAATCTACTTCTGTATTTTGCTTTCAACTCAATTCTACATCGTTTTGTTGTTGATTTCAAAGTATTTCTATCTCCAAATATTTCTTCTTGTTGAGTCGTCACAGTTTAATTAAACAGAAAAAATGTAAATGACCCTAAAACTTCTTTGATGAAAAACCAGCAAGATCGAAAAAAGACTAACTTGTCTAGATTTTGAGCCGATGAAAATGCATCATGGAAAAACAATATGACTTTCTTAAAAAAAAAAATTGTATTCTCAGATATTTCTCTTCTATTACTTCATATGTTTTTAGTCCGTTTTTTTTTTAGTGCAAAAATAGGGAAAGAACATTTGCGCTTCTCTCTACGAAATACATTTTCTTCACTTCGGTTTTAGTGACGATAATAGGTCTTTGGTGTCAGCCACCTTGACTCTCTAAAATCTCACATTACCGAAGATATATCTTTCCGGATATCTTACTAAAATATCTTTAATTCATCCCAGCCAGGTTCTAACTGATTTTTCGACAAGTCAGAAACGCCTTTATCTAATATAGAAACGTCGACAGAACAAGAAGGATGTGATTAGTCGGAAGGTTTCCTTCTTGACAGCAAGTAAAATGTATTCTCGAAATACACTGAGTTCTCAAAAACATTTTGCTTTCAACACGTAGACACAGTATTCTTTCCGGTTGATGGTGGCTCTGAGCCACCGATTATTTCAACGTTTAAAGAGAGTCGAGCGGGAAAATATGAAGAATTCTTTCCAGATAAACTAGATGAAAATTACGATGTAGAACAGGCAAGAATTTGCTCAAGAAGTGTGATTTATAGAAGGATGGAAAGAGATTAAGGAAAGAGAGAATAACCGAAGAAAAAACACACGATTAAAAGATAAAATAACAAAATATAACGGAAGATAGAATAAGAAAAAGGAACGAGTGAGAAAATAAATGAGAAACATGTATGAAAAATAAATCAAAGAAAAATATCTAATGAACGAACGAAAAAAGAAAGAATAAGACATCAAATAAATAAATAAATGATACAAAGAATGACTGAAAGAAAGAATGAAAGATAAAAAGATGGAAAAGCAAAAATTGATAACGAAACAATGAAAGAAAGATGGAAGTAATTTCGAAAAACGGAACTGAAGAAAAAAATGAATGATATCTTACATTTAATAAAAGAAAGAACGAGACAATGAAAGAAAAGCATGAAAAAGAATGAAAGAAAAAGAACAAAATAAAATAACAAACAAGTGAAAGAGCAAAAAATGGAACGAAAGAAAGCATAAAAGAAAAAAAATGACAAAAAAAACGAAATAAGGAAGGAAAGAAAGAAAAATAACATGGAAAATAAACGAATGAATCAAATAAATAGTTGAATGGCAGAAAAAAAAAGCATTGGAAAGGAGAAAATAAAAAAGCGAAAAATGCAAAAAAAAGATTGAACGAATAAGAAAAAGGCAAACGGTGAAAGAAGGTAGAAAAGATTGAATGAAAGAGAAAAGAATGAAGAAAGATGAAATATTTTAGAATGAGAAGAACGAAAAAAGCAAATAAAGATTGAATGAAAAAGTCAAACGGTGAAAGAAAAAACGTAGGAAAGATTGAATGAAAAAGAAAAGAATGGAAACAGATAAAATAATTGGGAACAAGAAAAATGAAACAATTGATTGGACAACGAAACTGGTGACGTATGCATGCACAAATATATATTTGTAAAAGGTTTTTCTGAATAGGAATAAATATCAAAGAATGACTCAGCGAATGATTAAAGGGTGAGTAAAAAATAGTGAGAATATTAGAATAATGGTGAGGAATTTAAAATGGTAAGGGTTATATTTATTGCATCCTTATAACTTTCGCTATTCATTGACTGATTAGAAAGCTGCTACTGTTGGTTGAAGTTATAAAAAACTTTCTATTAAAATAATCTTTCAGAAAAATAGTTTTTTCTAGTTCACTATAAACAGTGATCTACAAGAGATGATTGATTCTGTCCAGACTCCGGCTAGACTGGTTACACACCCAGGATACATGACCAGAGTATGCCCTACAATTTTACTCTTTGCTGGGAATGTGCGATGGTGAAATTGATAGCGGTTCGGATTGAGAAATTGGAGAGGCTAGTTCCAATTCCAGTGTTAGATCTTTACATTAACTATATATATATATATATATATATATATATATATATATATATATGGACCAAGAAATTTATTTATTTTTGCTTTATTGCCCATGAAAAGCATGATCTTTGAAAGATATTGGTCATTCAACAGATATCTGCAAGAGACGATTGCTTCTGTTCAGACCTAGCCTAGATTGGTTGCACACCTAGGATACAGGGCCCAGTATGCCCAACGATTTTATTTTAAAAAGCTGAAATCTGCGGTGGTGAAAATTGATAGCGGCTCCGATTGCGAAATCGGAGAGGCAAGTTCAATTCCAGTTCAGATCTTTACATTAATTTACGTTCATATATATATATATATATATATATATATATATATATATATATATATATATATATATAGTTCATGCTACATTGACTGATAAACTCCTACAACAAAAAAATTATCAAATTACTAGTAAAAAAACGCACTCTCTTAAATTTTCAAGAAATTCAACCTTAGCGTTGCGACTGCACGCTGCAAAATTTTGTATCTATTAACAATAACACATTTAAAAAAAAAACATATTTCGATTCAAATTTAATTTTTCGTCTCGGATGCTACTGAATTTTACCAATAACAAAATAATTTCCATGTCTGAGGATGACTGTATGTACAGGTGAAAGTACTTGGATATTAAAAAAAGACCTTATACAGCTTATAATTTTAAAAACAAGGATCATAACATTCATCGAGTGATTCGTAAGTTATGCATCTTTAAAATGTTGTTTGCGAAAAGATTTCGCCATTTTATATCATTTACTTTATTGATCTACTTTTTGTATGAAGGATTCATTGTAATATAAATTGAACTGCACCACATATTTGATATATATATATATATATATATATATATATATATATATATATATTGAAAATATATTTTCAATTAAGGACTGTTGAACAAGCTAATTCTAAAAACAACGGTCAACTGCGCAAATGCGAAGCTCTTCAGTAAAATGAATTGAGCACTTTGGCTGCTTGGCGTTTACGTTTGTAAAAAACAATACGCTAGATTTGGTTGAAACGTTCTGTCGAGTGAAGATGGTTCAGCGGTAGAAGATCTAACTGACACCTGATGGGTTGGGTTTCGATCCGTGCTTGAGGCAATCGGTTCTTTAGTCGTACTGAGGGGCTGCCGAACAGTACTCTTTGCGAATGATATAAAATATTTATATTAATCGAGCAACTTATTTATATTTCTTTATTACTCAATAAAAGCGTGATCTTTGAAAGACATTGCACATTAAACAGAGATCTGCAAGAGACGATTGCTTCTGGTCAGCTGAACCTTTCCCTTTTTCGAGCAGGCCATCGATCAGGGGTTTTCCTCTTTCTGGTATCGGAGCATAAACATTTTTGAAGTACCGTGAAATATCAGCATCTTGCTTATTTCATTATCTTCTCTTCCAGTTGAATGTGCTATCCATTTTGGTTGTTGCTGCTCTTGAAAGTCATCAAGTGATGTGGTTTCTGTTAGTTGGTATTCTTCATTGTCATTCTGTATGGAGGACAGTTTGGAAACACCGAGAATAAACGAGTACTGTAAGCAACCGCCTATATTTTCCCGACTTTAAATAACAAATGGATGAAACGCTATAAAAGACAAATAAATCCCTCAATGTGATCCTGTAGCGTCAGTCCATAAGGCTGGAAGAAGGGAGGTCCTCGCTAAGATCTAGGTTTTACGTGCACGAAGACTAGATAAGATAGTCTGACATAATTTTAAATTCTGATAAGTCATTAAGATTTGGTATATCTATGAGAGACTGAAGAATTTGTCTATATTCCTGAGATGAGGTATTGTGTACATTATTTACATTATTTGGGCTATTGTCCTCATCTTTGTCGCCATATTTATTACGCTCCGGCTTTCTTCAGGTTGCTGAAGACATTAGGTTTATAATACCCAGAAATTCATACACAGATGTCCTCAAGGACACATGGCACAGTGGATAAAGGTGTTGGTTAGATCCAGTGACAGAACCGAAAGAGTGTGAGTTCAATAACTATTTAAGGCAGTGGATAACTTTCAGAGGGAAATTAACAGGAGATAACTGATAACTGACATCCATTAAACATGGCACGTGAAACTTGAACAGTCTGCCCCAGTGAGCGAAATAAACGGTTCAGTTCGACATTCCAACCACCTGTTAGCGCCGAAATGTTGTAATAAATATGGCGCCAAAGATGAGGACAATAGTCCAAATAATGTAAATAATGTACTGAAGAATTCATCGGCCGAAATGCTCTATTAAAAAACAGTAATGATAGAGATACGAATTCTATGAACTGGAGAAAGATTGGAAAAGAAAACAAGTGAATATAATTGAAGTAAAGAATTAAAAAAAAAAACAGAAAATAGTAAAAGAAAACAAAAAGTTGAAATAGAATAGAAGAAAATTGAAATAATCCAAAATAGATGCCAAAGATACTGGAGAGATAAAATAAAAAAAAGAATGGAAGAAAAATAACAAAACAGAGTGCTAAATAGAAGAACAAAACAAAAACAGTAGACATCTTCGTCGTTGAGGAAGCAAGATAAATCTAGAAACTTATTTTTTTTTCTTTATTGTCCAAGAAAAGCGTGATCTTTGAAAGATATTGCTCATTAAACAGAGATCTGCAAGAGACGATTGCTTCTGGTCAGCTGTACGTTTCCCTTTTTCGAGCAGACCATCGATCGAATGCATCGGGGCCTTGCTCTCACCCAACGCAGGAGGCTGTGATTTTAGAATTCACATCGTTCATTTCTCTCTGACGAAAAAGTCGCTTTCTGCCGTAGAAAATGACATTTCAGAAATAATGGCTAAACTTTATCGACAGAATGTGAACGCCTTCAAGGGTGAAGTAGGCAAATCAGGCACGAGTCAAAGCTCCAAGGGATTCCAACCCTTTTATCCCAAAATGACTTCTTACGATCGTTTTTATTCTACTCCTCCTCCTCCTCCTCCTTCTCCTCCTTCTTCTTTTTCTTCTTCTTGCTTATCACATATTTCTCATTTCTACAATTCAGCTCAACGTGAACGTACACAAGACGATCAAAATAGATAAAAAAAAAACTCGAAATTGATGGCAATTATTCATAACTTGGCAATAAAGAATTCTCATTTGGTTTTAGAATTTCGTTCTGCTTTCATTTTTGAATGGTTTCTGCCAGCAGATTCCATGGAGAACGACTGGAATCAGATTTCAAAAAATCCTTCTTCCTCGGGGAAAATTTTTTTTTCCTTCACTTTTTTCCTTTCTCATTCTACATAGCGAAACCCAGGCCGGATTCAAGCAGTGCAACATTTATTGAACATCCACAATGACCCAACAATAATTGCATTAATCATGTTAGATAAAAAAAATTTTTTTTTAAAAAATAGATAAAAAATAGATAGATAGATAGATGAATGAATGAATGAATTTCTAGACAGACTTGAAATTGATGGTAAATTATAGATAGCCAGCAATAAAGATATATTTATATCCATTTGGTTTTAGATAATTGCTTTCATTTGAATGGAATCAATTCCAAAAGATAGATAGATCGTTAGATGGAATGGACATGAACTGATTTCAAAAAATAAAAGATTTTTACAAGAGATAGATAGGATTATTTACATTTATAAAATATATATATATATATGAAAAATTCATCTCAACACAGTATGATTCTTTCATATCCAATGCAGATAGATTTTTAAATAAAAGAAACTTTGGCGGACAGTTACTTTAAGAATGAGAAATGATACGATCGTTTTTTTAGATATTCTTCTTTATCACACATTTCTATTACAATTCAGCTCAACGTGAACGTATCAAAATAGATAAAAAACTCGAAATTGATGGCAATTATACTTGGCAATAAAGAATAGATATTTTGAATGGTTTAGATAGAACGACTGAAATCAGATTTCAAAAAATAAAAAGACGCTTTCTTCACGGGGGATTCATGGATAGATAGAGCGAACCCAGGCGGATAGATGCAATGCGATATCCATAGAATAATTGCATTAAATAGATAGATAGATAGATAGATAGATAGATATAGATAAATAGATAGATAGATGAATGCAGACTGAAATAGATAGATAGATAGATAGATAGATAGATAGATAGATACGAGCAGACTGAGATAGATAGATAGATTAATGATAGATAGATAGATAGAGATAGATAGATACAGAGCAAGACTGAGATAGATAGATAGATAGATAGATAGATAGATGGAGATAGATAGATAGGATTATTTATATGGACCTTCATAAGATAATGGAATAAACGTGAAGGAAATAAAATAATTCCTTTACATGTCAATGCAGTTTGGATATTGTAGAGTGAAAGTTTCCAATCAAAGTATTAGCTCCCTATATTGCTGACTACGGACATCGTTTACACACACACACACACACACACACACACACACACACACACACACACACACACACATATATATATATATATATATATATATATATATATATATATGTAAATATTATCCCTCACTGATAGCACGATTCAGCCTTTGATGCATAACGCAATCTTCAGGCGCCGAGTATAGACTGACCGTCACATAATTTAAATTTAAATAAAATATTCTCAGCACCTGAAGATTATGTTGTGAATGAAACTCCGACTGTCGGTGAATGATAATATGTATCCTGCCTACATATGGCTTGAATAGAGATTGGCTGAAGTATTTTATGAAGGACCATCACCACTTTTCAGAAGATGGAATACAGAGAATTGGTGCACAGTGTCTCCAAATGACTATACACAGGTTTTACATTCAGGTTCGTCCTTCGCCTAGACTGTTTTCACACCAAGGATACAGGGTCCAGTACGTCCGATTAGTTTACTGCTTAATGGGAATGTGCGGTAGAGAAATTGATAGCGCCTCGTATTGAGAATTCGGAGAGACAAGTTTCAATTCCAGTTCAGATCATTGCATTAATTTACGTGCAGATACACACAAACACACACATACACACACACACTCATACACAAACACATACACACACTCATACACAAACACATACACACACACATATATGTATAAATATGTAGGAAAACTGTATTACTAGCTGACGCGTTTCGTCCAATGGGGACTTTTTCGAGGCAAAAACGAAATGAATTTATTGAAAATAAAGTTACTTTGTTTTCAGTAAATTGCTGTTGTTTTGCCTTGAAAAAGTCCACATTGGATGAAACACATCGGCTAGTAATACAGTTTTTCTTATTGTTATACTGGAACATACCTATTCTATTGTTAATAGACTCTCCCACCTATAATAAGTAGTAGTAGTAGTAGTAGCAGCAGTCGCCAGTGAGCTCAGTGAGTTGGTGAGTCAGTCGATGTCGGACATTAAAGGATCAGCCACCACAACTAGATTGCTGCGTCATTAACTATTATATCAAGTTCCTAACGTTTTTTACGTCGAACGTTTTTAGGACCAACTTAGTGAAATACAAGCCTCCACTGTGAAACTACTCAACAACACTTATTGTCTTTTACTTTTATGCATAGTCTTTTCTACAGGTTAACTGAGAATTTTTCACACACACACACACACACACACACACACATATATATATATATATATATATATATATATATATATATATATATTGAAAATGATTACTACTGAATATAGATTTCGATTTAACCTGTGTGTCCCTTATATGAACATCTTTGACAGAATACCATTAATCTGCTACATATCATTGTCAAAATAATTATTGGTTATTGGTGAGAATGTACAATTTCTAGTGCCATACAATCGTTGCTCTCTGGCATTTGGAATCAACCTGATAAAATAAGACGCAATATTTTCGGATCATCTTTTATATTTAGGACGATCTAGGTATTTTTCTTCCACTTGGAGTAACTCCATCATTGTCTCGAAAGAAACTGCGATATTAAAGCGATCATTGAGCCTGTATTAAAAGACGGATTATTTTTTTTCTCTTGACTTTCATGGCGAATGGACTTTCAACAATTCTCAGATTGACCTTATTTCACCACCCTTCGAAAAAAGAAAATGTTCTTGTATTTGTCAAATATAACTGTCAAACCTGCCATATATATATATATATATATATATATATATATATATATATATATATATATATATATATATATAATTTATAAGTCTGTTCGTATCTATCTATCTATCTATCTATCTATCATCTCCCTAAGGCTGTTCGTATCTATCTATCTATCTATCTATCTATCTATCTATCTATCTATCATCTCCTAAGGCTGTTCGTATCTATCTATCTATCTATCTATCTATCTATCTATCTATCTATCTATCTATCCCATACATATGTTTACCTATTTTTTAATACTACCAGTTCATATATGTAAGCTGTACTCTTTATCTCAATCTTTTTTATATATATATATATATATCTATATATATTCTTGTTTGTGTAACTGTCTATTCCTATCTATCTATCTACATATCTATTTCTGAAATAATTCAGCCATTAACTGTAGAGAATTTTTATCCGAATCCATAATCAGGGAATATGTATCTAAAGAAAAATTTTGAAGCATGTTTAATATTCCCAGGTACGCGCAAAGCAAAAGAGGAAAAAATGCCTAAGATAAAATAATTTGATTATTCCCTACTTTTCAGAACCCAGAATGCACTGGACTGCATTTCTTCCGACTTTTTGTAGCCAGTGAATTTGGGAAAAGAATTTGAATTCAGGAAAATGGCTTCGTTTAGGCCGAAGCTGCTTCAGCTTCTGCTCCTACAATGAATTTTGCGCCAGTGAGGCATATTCGAATATTTCCTGTCTAAGAGCAACGGATTGAAATATTTCTTTCTTGGAACAATGCATTTTCAGACGACCAAAAGTCAATTAAGTTAAACGAAATGGAATTTTTCTCATGAAAAGAATCGGATAACTACACAAGTTCAAATTCTACGTTTTTCCATCAACTTCCAGATGTTATATTCATATCTCGAAATAAAAACATGAGATTAAAAAGAAAGAAAGAAAGAAAATTTAGAAAGAATTAGAGAAAGAAAGAAAGCTTACAATGACGGAAAGAAAAGAAGAAAACTTAGAAAAAAAGGAAAGAAAGCTTCGAAAGAAAGAAAGAAAAAAGCTTAGAAAGAAAGGAAGCTTCGAAGGGTAGCAAGAAAGAAAGAAAGCTTAGAAAGAAGGAAAGAAAGAAAGCTAAGGAAGAAAGAAAGCTTAAAAAGAATGGAAGAAAGAATGAAAGCTTTAGAAGGAAATGAAGAAAGAAAGCTTATAAAGAAATAAGGAACGCTTATAAAGAAAGAAAGAAAGAAAGAAAGAAATCTTTCCATGAAGGAAAGAAAGAAAGCTTACAAAGAAACAAAAAAAGAAGAAAAACTTAGAAAGGAAGGAAAGCTTATAAAGAAGGAAAAAAGAAAAAAGATTAGAAAGAAAGAAATACATCTTAGAAAGAAAGAATGAAAGAATGCTTAGAAAAAAAGAAAGAACGCTTATAAAGAAAGAAAGAAAGAAAGAAAGAAAGAAAGAAAGAAAAAGAAAGAAAGTAAGCTAAGAATAAAGGAATGAAAGAGAGCTTGGAAAGACAAAAAGGCAGAAGGAAAGCTTAGAGTGAAGGAAAGCTTAGAAAGAAGTAAAGAAAGAAAGCTTACAATGAAGGAAAGAAAGAAAAAAAGCTTAGAAAGAAAGCTTATAACGAGTAAAGAAAGAAATGATTACAAAGAAAGAAATAAAGCTAAGAAAGAAAGAAAGAAAGAAAGAAGGAAGGAAAGAAAGAAAGAAAGAAAGAAAGAAAGAAAGAAAGGAATCTTAGAAAGAAAGAAATACCGAAGGCTCAGAAAAAAGAAAGGAAGCTTATAAAGAAAGAAAGAAAGAAAGAAAGAAAGAAAGAATGAAAGACGAAAAGAAAGCATGGAAAGAAGGAAAGAAAGACAGAAAGTTTAGAAATAAAGAAAGGAGTGGTACATTTATCTATAGATATTGGCGGAAGATATAAAACCAAGTGGTAACTCAAGACGGTGTATTGGGTAACAAGCTTGTCTCTCTAGATCTATTATGACTGAATGATGTGTTCGATCTTCACTAGATGACTCTTATTTTCGGCCTTGTGCCAGACCTAAGCTATGCTTGGAAAATCACTATAAGAATAAAACCAAACCCAGATCCGAGGGACGAAACCGCCGCAGTAGCTTGGTAAGATTGTTACACCGTTTTTAAGATAATATTTAAGTACCTCGCTCCACAGTGTGGCAATGAGCACATTTAAAATCCATTGGAATTGGTCCATTTAAAGATAGACTTTTTCACGGAGTTGAGTTATACAAGAGAAAATATTTCATATTTTGATATATATATATATATATATATATATGGTAAATATATATATATATATATATATATATATATATATATATATATATATATATGGTAAAAATATATGGGTATACTCACATACATATATATATTTTTTACTAAGGTCTTATAAAAGCAGTTTTCA